TCTGGTAAAAATACATGGTGTTTATATTGTAGATTAAAATAGCTTGGGCAGCTGTGTGCTATGTGCAAAAGATGGACAGATGAACATTATCTATACAGTGTGTGTATTATGTGTGTATTAGAGACAGCATGGTAGGGAGCAAGATGTCTGCTTGGAGAAGTGTTGTGTGAATAATTTTTAAGAGCAAAAAGTGAAGAAGTATATTTATGTGATAGTTCACCTTTGCAGTCCTGGTTCTCTCCTGCTTACAAGGTGATTGTATTATATGACAATAGAAACCAGCATTCTACTTCCCTTTCTCTTAGTTTGAGTTTGGTAGCCAAGGTTTTTTTTTTTTTGGTGAAGAGACAATATTTACAGCATTAAATGTACTATTGGAAGACAGTCATCTGAAGAAGTTTAATCTCCCAAGAGAGTTCTAGATTCAGAGATCTTTTTACTCTACCTTCAGTGGTGCCAAGTGGAATATGTAGATGGGAACAAGACAGCATTACATGATCTGCATTACATGAGTATTTTGAGATTGTATGTAATTTAAAGTGTTATATATTGATTTAGCAATTGGTTTGCCTTCTCAGTGATTGAATATCTTTCTATCCTTCCTCACTGACTTGTACATGTATCTGCCGGATGAGTAGTCTGACAGCGATGGAAGCCTGAGTAGCCGCTCCCAGTCAGTGCCCAGCCTGGAACCTGGCAGAGGCCTACTACGTGCCAAGAGTCCTCAGCCTGTTTGGGACACAACTACAGAGGTCCAGTCCCAGTCTCAATTCAGGCGGGTCAAGAGCCCCTCACCCAACAGAGAAAAGATGGCGACCAGCAAGTTTTCTGAAGTGCCCAAGATGCCAGAGCGCTTCAAAAGCCCTGAGCCTTCTCGAGCTTCTTTGAGTCCTGAACCTTTTTTGAATGGAGAAAGCAAAGTGAATGGTGCTCTCAATGGAAGTGTCAAGACTACTGCAAGTGCCAGCCAGCCAGAACTCACAGAGGACTTGCAGGGTGGGACCCGTAAGAAGGTGGTGAAGGTGGTGCGCAGGGTGGTTAGGAGGGTACTTCCTACTGAAGAGGACAGGGCAACAATCCCTGCAATGTCCCCAGAACCACCTATACCAGTTTTAGAACCACCAAAACCTGAACCAGCATCTGTACCAAAAGTTGTGAAAGTGCCTGTGTTCTCCTTCAAACATGATACCATAAAGAAGGAAGAAAGAGATGATATCTCTGCTGGACTGACTAACTTGATGACGCGAGGCAGGACCAGGGAACCTCGTCATCGGATCCGCAATAATGAGCCTGCTGAAAAAGAGGATGTGAAACATGTAGAGAAGTCTGAAGAGAAGGACATTTCTGAACCAGCACAGAATAAAACTTTGCCCAAACTAGAAGCCTCCCAGACTCTAAAAGTAGAGCAACAGACTTCAGCTTCTGCTACTACCTCAACAACACATAAGTCACCTGTTTCACCACCAATAGGATTCATCCCAGCCTCCAAACCCAATCCACTCTCTCCCCCATCAGGATTTGTTCCTACAACAAAACCCATAGGATTTGTCCCAATCTCAAAAACATCTACTCTTTCCCCTCCAGCAGGCTTTATTCCTACTCCAAAACCTTCTCCTAAGACCCCTGCTGGAGGAGATATTCAAATAGCTCCTACCGTTTCTACACCTTCAGTTCCTATTCCAGATCCCAAAACGTTGCCTGTTATCCCCAGTTCTACACCTGCTGTCCCAGCTGCTAACTGTGCTCCAACCGCTCCTGGTAAATCCAACACCCTTAAACCCCCAGCCCTCAAAACAGATCAGTTTGCCCCTCCATCAGGGTTCATTCCTACCCACAAACAGATGCCTATGAAGAAACCAGAGGTATTGGTCACAGTGATTACTTGGCTGCATGGATTGCTGTTTGAGGAGTGCACTAACGTGTATGCTGTAAATGGAACACAGTAGTGCTAATTTTAGCTAATTTCCCAAAGTTTAGCTGTTTACATTGTTTGTTTCTTTTTTGCTCAAAACACTTTACCTGCATGTTTCCTTATGATTTGTAGCTCTCTGAAGTGTTTTTGAAATGTGATTTTAGTTGTTTGACAGAAGCCTTCTCCTGAGGTTCTTACTGTCTCTGAGTTGCCTTTGAAGTCTCTGGCCTTAACTGTTCAGGCCAGGGCTTATGGTTCCTGAACGTTACCATTGGGAAACCAGCTTTAATATGCTGATCTTGCAAATCAATGCTGTAGTTTAAGGCTGTTAGTAGATCAAGTCACCTCAGAGGCCCACAGAGCAACATCATAGACCAGAGATCTCATGGATCTTGAACTTGTTTAGTGTTGTGGACGTTGAATGGTTGGTTTGGTTCTTTGGTTGGAATCGAGAGTGGTGGACTAATCTGTTTCTGGTTGTATGGTTACTGACGTCAATCCCTTAAACAACTTGACTTTTGTGACACTGTGTGTGGTTTTGGGTGTGAAGGTGAACACGACCGTACGTATGCAACCAACTCCAGCAGGGAGACCTTCTCCTGGAAGCATTTCTAAACCCACTCTACCAACCTTGTCCAAAAAGGTGTGTTCACGGTTTGCAGTGATTAGATGACATGCCCATATAGTTCTCGAGGAAGGGAATGCAGCATGGCTAACATAAACACTCGTGACTTTGCTTGCTCTCAACCAGGTTCTGTCTAAAGCTTTGTTGGTTGGCTACTGTTGGCTACTCTACACAACATGTCTCATTAACAAAGCCATGTGCTTAGTCTGACTTGGACTCACCTCTTCTTGGTGGTTTGACCTATAGGAGAGTCCGCCACTGAGTCCCACTGAAGAAGCACAGAGGCGGCTGGAGAGGATCTTCGCTGCAACTGTAATGCCCATCCGTTCCTCCTCTTCCTCTTTTCACTTATCTTGTCTTCATTCCTGCTTCTTTGTCTTTCTCATCTCTCTCTCTCGCTCTCTCTCTGGTGCTAAAATGCTTTATTCAGACTGTATTACAGTATGTGTCTCTCACTGCACTGGCTGTAGGCCTATAAATAGAGCACTTTAAAGCCTGAAAGTGTTTATGCTGACTGAGTACTCATGGGGAAATAGTTTAATACACTGCATTGTTAATGAGGAAAAGGGATTTTAAGGACATTAATTTGAGCAAAGCTCATAGTGCCTTCACATCTAATGATTCTTAACGCTGTCTCTTAAAAAAATAATGTATGAATTCATTCCAAACTTTAGTGAGCTGCCTACCTAGACACTGTGAATGCAGTTCCTTAAATCCCTTTTAAAAACAGCTGCAAAGTTTTAAACAAGCTAGCCCAAGACGACAAAACTTTGGACGATTTGTGTGGTGTTTTAAACAAAAAAAATTCAAACAATTCAAAATGGCAGACAATTTGAGAAAAAACACTTTTCAGTACAAAATTCTGTTCATAAAAAAAAAAAACATTTAAAAACTATTTACCCAACTTTGTATTTATGCTATGTATTTTTTGTGCATAGAGCATGGTTGCCTTAGTGACATGGTGATACAACTTTGTAGCTCAGCATTCTGCTCTAATGTCTACTGAGCTTTGAGGCTATTGTTTTTGTTTTTGATAAGTCTCTCAAACCCCATGTCTGTTTTTAACCTGTCTCTTCCTATTTATCACAATTTCATGCATTTTTTCCATTTGCTATGTGGTGCAGTATCACTTTCGTATCTAGTAAACAGGTTTTTATGGTTCAGGCATGCCCATCTCACCTCCATGTGCCTGCTGTCCTTTCATCTGCGGGTACATGTCTCATCTTTACCTCTCTCTCTCTCATCCACTGCTGTCTCTGTGGCTGTGATTGTTTGGCTGGCTGGTGTAGCTGGAACCTGTGGCCAGTGCCTCAGCGTCGTCTCAGGTACAAGGCTCTTGTACTGGAGTGGCCGGAGTGTGTGCTCGTGTGGCCTGTCGGAGTGTAAGCCCTCTGTTCCTCTTTCTAACTCACCCCCCACCCTCATTCATGACTATACTTTTGTGCTTGCATTATCAACTTTTTTTGTGTGGCAAAAATAAATGTTTACATTTTCTATCAAGACTTGATAAATGATAAATATTTGGCTAACTGAACCCCATTTTTATATATATATATATATCATATCTTTGATATAAGGATTGTCTGCTTGTTCATTGCTTATGAATGATCATTTTTAGCCAGTGTTTTTGCAGCGCATGATGGCTCAGGGTTAGCTGTAACTGAATGAAAAAAAAATAGGGCAATATGTTAGTGATTTTGCTTCTGCTGTCCAGATGGTCAACTTATAAGTGAATATCAGTGGATAAGCCTTCTTATTGAAGACTTTGATTTATGAGCGTTGCCTGTTGCCATCTCATGCCTCAGGCTCTGAACATTATCTAATTTATGTATTGCCTCACATCACTAACATAGTGTCTTTATAAATCCTTATATCACATTGCATCACCTCTGTCTGTTGATGTTTGTATCAGTCGTATATTTTCAGAGATTTCATTTTTAATATTTATACTCTCATACAACATGTGGAACATTTAATAATATAATTGAATGCAGATGTAGAAATCTACTACATGTTGAATCACATGACATTATTCATAACTGCAAGTAATTATATATAATTAATTATTACATATTTTATTATATATATATATATATAAAGTATGGATTATATATATATATATATATATATATATATATATACAAAGTATATAAATACATATATATCGAGAGAGAGAGAGAGCTAGCGAGAGAGGTTAATTATGACCTATTCTTGGCAGGTTTTATAACATTCTCCCTGCTGAATGTTTATTTTATACCCATTACCTCCCAGAGTATGACAGTGCCTTATATCACATGATCAATAAACCTTTTTATTCACAGGATGCTTTAAAATGCTCTATGTGTGGAGCTGAGGCAGGCTATTAAATTGATAAATGAGTGTGTTTTTGAGAGATGCACATGATAAAGTGTTATGATGTCTAACGCTGCTCTTGCCCCCTCATGCTGGCCTGCCGTCTCACAGGGACAGGTGGAGGAGGATCCCGTGGCAATCCTAAAGGCAGACCATGCTGCTGCCGCCCAGCCTAAGGTCTGCTTTCTGCTGTGTGTGTACTGTAGTTGCCTAATCCCAACCTTGACCTATTGTGTCAAACTCGCCCTTCTGTTGTGGAGTGTTGTGTTCGCACCCATCCCATTTCATCGATACAAAGACCCCAGCTGTAGAGGCTATAATTATGAGACACCCAGATGGAAAAACATAACAGCAAAACAGACAATCTGGAAAATACCCTAGTAATATGGGTTCATCTAACTTTTTAATAGAATTGGATTGTTATTAACTTGCACTGACAGTGGTTGTGCTGTTGTGTTTCCTACCCTTCCTTCTCATGTGTCACTGTACTTGTAGAGTCAGAGTGTACTGGTTTATCTACAATCATCACATCGTATACTAACCAAACACCAGAGGTTAGAAGCATGTGAACTGGAACACAACTCCATCCCATCAATGGATCAACTGATATACTATCTCTCACTGTCAGCCCTTCACAGCGGTAGAGTTCATGTTCAGACCCGTGTGTGTAGGTCAAGCATGAGTGCAGTGGAATCAGACATGCCCAGACAACCAGAACATTGAGCTTGTAATCTGACCCTATCCATCATTTGAAGCCAGAGTTGGCTTCATCTACACCTGCAGTTCAACTCACCCCATCTTGCATGACAGCCCACAGCATTTCAAGCTTATTTACCACTATAGACGTTGGGAAACAATGCTCTTATTGGCTGATCTGGGACCTGTTTGTACCTTAATAGTTATTCTGTTAGCAGATGTCTCAGATCAGGGTTAAAATATACCATTTTGTGTCATTAAGTGATAGCAGTCCTTTTCCCATAAGTGTGGACTAATGCATGCTGTGGATTTGAAGCGTCAGTGATGTTTCTGGTCAAAGGCCTGTGTAAATTCACAAATAATGAGTTGTTCATTACTAATGGCTGGTGGTGTTTTCTTCACAGGTGAAAACAGAGGAGCAGATTGCTGCAGAGCAAGCATGGTATGGCTCGGAGAAAGTGTGGCTGGTCCACAAGGATGGATTCTCTCTGGGTTAGTACAAAAAACATGCAAATTGAACTCTGCATGACTCAAACTTTGTTATTTTAAGTTTAAGACAACATGAAATGGCATTCTCTGCTCATTTAACTTCAATAATTTGACTTATTCATGTGGGGAAAAGAATATTCAGCTAGAGTTGCAGAGAGAGTCATTTTAAAGATAAGAGAACATTACATTTCGATGAAAGATTATGGAAACATTTACTCTTTACGGGTTTTGTGCACTTATGTTTTGCATAAAATAACACCGGGGACATTTATTAAGAAAGGGAGTCAATTTTTCGATTTTTCTGTCATTTTTAACTTAGAATAAGGAGTGATTTAACAGCACTACAATATTAGAAGTCAATTGTAATTTTGTTCCGCAATGATGTTTTGTGCAGTTACGTTTACTATGTTCTCTGGTATTCTCACAGCTACAGTGATGAAGACGGAGACTGGCAGTTTACCAGAGGGGAAAGTAAAAATCAAACTGGAGCATGATGGGACAGTACTGGACGTGGACGAGGATGACGTAGAAAAGGTCCGTTTTGCAGGCTTTTTTATTGTGAACAACTCATCCATGCATGTTTCACTACTTCTGTTTTATGTTTTTTTAAATTAACAATAACTTATTCTAATTTCACTACACATTATAATTTAATTTCGAGTTGTTGTTTTTTTCTAAAATGTGGACCATAGTTAAAAGGGCTTGTGTCTGCTATTGTAGGCTCATTTTTTAAATTTAATCAACTAGCCTACTACTAGACGCAAAAACTGGGTGACAGTGTGATGAGACGTATATGCTCGGACAGATTCGTCTCGAAGTCGCGCATCTTCGGAGGCTCCAGGCTAGCTGCCAAGCTTGAGGCTCCAGAACTGCACCTGATAGAATATGCGATATACCAAGATACTACCATATTTTTTCAAAAGCAGAACGTGGAGATTAAATCATCCACGATCAAAAATCATGATATCGCTAAGCATAAGTCTATAAAACGACTGTTATCGTGTCTGAAAACAAACACTAACGGAGTTTACAAAACTGTATCGCACGTGTGCTACAGGCGTACATTTATTTATCGCACAGACCAATCTTTTCGTAGATATATGTCGTGCTGTACAGGACCCTTTTTAATGAACATTTGGCGTAGGTCTATAGGCATAGAGATATATGAACATCTTTGCCAAGCGCAAAACCAGTACAGAAGTAATCAATAAATTAATCGGGGAAGGTCATGTCTTTTTTCCACAATCATTTTACAGGATCATAGAAATATGTATTGCTGGCGAAGGGAGGGTCAAGTCTATTTTGACTATAGATATCAAAATCTATAGTATCTCCTTAAATAAAAAACAAACAGTCCTTTAAATTCATCAATCTGGTGCACTTTGAGAGTTCAAATTAAGAGCTTCAACCCATGTTCAGTGTGCAAATTGATTGTGCATTGACTTGTATCAGAACTTTATATCACTGATAGGAGGTTTGAGTCCCCTTCGGTCTACATTACAATACATAATAATAATAATAATAATAATAAAGTTTTAATAAAATAATAAAAAAGTTTTTTCCTACTTTCGATACTTGAAAGACATCAGTCAAGCTTTTATTTAGGCGGAAAACAAGTTTACAAACGCGTCCCATTACAAATGCTGAAATGCTCATTACAAATGGTGAAATGCTGAAATGCCCATTACAAATGGTGAAATGCTGTAATTTTCAACTATGCAAATGTGAAAATAATGCTGAACTGGTGGCTGTTATATTCCAAAATGTACGCTAAAGTTAGCACATTCACAGATGAGGTTAACTGCGAATTGACTGAGTCTGAGATGCGGAGCTGATAACGTGAAGTGCGCACTTCTCTGCACAGCGTAGTCAGTCTTTTGCGATTTTGATATGGACAATTCTAGTTTGTTTTACATCGATGTCACAAAACACGACGTTAAAAGATACACATTCTACTTAATGAATGGGAAGCACTGAAATCTATTTGTTGTGGCCTATGTTGTTATTGTGGGTGGCTTGCTTCCACAAATAAATCAATGTATGGGAAACACCTGACTGAATTACTTGCTACACTAGTCATGCAGTGCTGGTTTTTGAGTGCTGCCAGGAAATAGAATAGAAAACATGCACAACACGATCTCATCTAATTTCATCACTTACAGTTCAGATTGCAGACTCGCAATGGAAAACAATGATTCCTTTCACTGTGGCACTGTGGATTCAAAACCAGAATAGATATGTACAGTATTTAAATGAACCTTAAGGTTTGCAGGGCTCGCCCACAGGATTATTTGCAGATCTCTGCTTCTATATGGCCTGAATCCAGAGGGTTAGACATGCACAGGTGGGCCCTGGGTACATGCAGAGGGTGGGAGAAATTGAAGACAGGATATGGGTCATAGAGAAACAGGTGTGATTTGACCCAATTTTTTTAATGGACAGATTGATTAATATAGACACATTCAGGTCTAATAGAATAGTTTGGGAGGTCAGTGCTGCCATTTTCAGAGTTTGTACTATTAGGCCTTGATGAGACATATGTTGGGAGATATTATCAATTCACTTACTGCCTGGCTCAGTCGCTTAATTTGCATACCCCCCGGTGAAGGCCGGCTGGAAGCTGATGATTTCCATAATGTCAAGGCTGACCTCAAATCAAGTTTTTGAACCGTCTGTTCAATGAGGGACTTGCAAAGCTCGATCCAGAGTTAGCTTGACAAGTTTTAAATTGCATTCAACACTTGGCATGAAGTCTTGAGGCTATTATGGTTGAGGCACCTCAATTTAAAACTCTCACTCTCTTTTTTTGCCATATTAAGGAATTTTTCCACTCTTCCCATTCATGCTTTTTTGCATTTTATGACCTTTAACATTTTAAACCCCTCAACCCAGGCGAACCCGCCGTCATTTGACCGCTGCGAGGACTTGGCAGCTCTGCTCTATCTGAATGAGTCCAGTGTCATGCATTCTCTGCGCCAGCGCTATGGAGGAAACCTCAACCATACACACGCCGGACCCAACATGGTGATCATCAACCCTATTAGCGCCCCCTCCATGTACTCGGAGAAGGTGAGAGCCATTGCATGTTATCTTTCACACTCCCCACATCCAAAGCAGCTTACTTCTCTATGGTATCCGAATACAGAATATTCATTGTTACAGAAGGTGGAAAATACTCACATAACCATCTTTTTCTTAATTAAATACATTATTTCACGACAGTATGTGATTATAGACAGAGCTATTCAATGTGGCAGCAATGCATTATGGGTACTATATTTTATACAGCCCCATAACCCTTCATTGGTTAATCGCAATAGGAAATGGGCAGCAGAAAGCTGCTAATGAGCTTTATTGGATTTCATGCAAGATAAAGTACCAGCCATAAATTTTTTCCGCAATCCAGAAGTGCATTTCTTTTGGTCATCTGTCCTAATTAAGTAAGTATCTGTCTTAATAGATGAAACTATGATATATATGAAAATGTTATTGTACTTGTGCCTGAGAGACATTCGCACCAACGTTCTTTTCAAATTAACAGCTATTGATTTCCTTTCATTGGAAAATTGATATTTATGGGTTTACATTTGAGGCTTTCATTATTGACTTTTCTGTTGTACAGAAAATAAATGCTCTGTAACACATTACGATTCTTAGATTATTAACTCGGCCTAATGTTTTTCGGGTGTGTTATGTTTATTTTTTCTCTCTGTCATTTCAGGTGATGCACATGTTCAAAGGCTGTCGACGGGAGGACACAGCCCCTCATATATATGCAGTGGCCCAATCCGCTTACCGAAACCTTTTGACAACAAGACAGGACCAGTCCATTGTGCTTCTGGGAAAGAGCGGCAGTGGCAAGACCACAAACTGCCAGCATTTAGTCCAGTACCTGGTGTCCATCGCTGGCAGCACCGGAAAGATTTTTACTGGTACTTTCAATCACCTACCAATTAACCCACCCATCCATTCACCCACCTACCCACTCAACAACCAACCTATCCATTCACCCACCTACTCACCCACCCACCCACTCAACAACCAACTTATCCATTCACCCACCCACCTACCCATTCACCCACCCACCCACTCAATAACCAACCTATCCATTCACCCACCCACCCACTCAACAACCAACCTATCCATTCACCCACCCACTCAACAACCAACCTATCCATTCACCCTCCTACCCATTCACCCACCCACTCAACAACCAACCTACCCATTCACCCACCCACCCACTCAACAACCAACCTACCCACTCAACAACCAACCTACCCAACAATCAACCTACCCACTCAACAACCAACCTACCCATTCACCCACACACTCACTCAACAACCAACCTACCCATTCACCCACCCACCCACTCAACAACCAACCTACCCACTCAACAACCAACCTACCCAACAACCAACCTACCCACTCAACAACCAACCTACCCATTCACCCTCCCACTCACTCAACAACCAACCTATCCATTCACCCACCCACCCACTCAACAACCAACCTATCCATTCACCCACCCACTCAACAACCAACCTATCCATTCACCCACCCACTCACTCAACAACCAACCTACCCATTCACCTACCCACTCACTCAACAACCAACCTACCCATTCACCCACCCACCCACTCAACAACCAACCTACCCATTCACCCACCCACTCACTCAACAACCAACCTACCCATTCACCCACCCACCCACTCAACAACCAACCTATCCATTCACCCACCCACTCACTCAACAACCAACCTACCCATTCACCTACCCACTCACTCAACAACCAACCTACCCATTCACCCACCCACCCACTCAACAACCAACCTACCCATTCACCCACCCACTCACTCAACAACCAACCTACCCATTCACCTACCCACTCACTCAACAACCAACCTACCCATTCACCCACCCACCCACTCAACAACCAACCTACCCATTCACCCACCCACTCACTCAACAACCAACCTATCCATTCACCCACCCACTCAACAACCAACCTATCCATTCACCCTCCTACCCATTCACCCACCCACTCAACAACCAACCTACCCATTCACCCACCCACCCACTCAACAACCAACCTACCCACTCAACAACCAACCTACCCAACAATCAACCTACCCACTCAACAACCAACCTACCCATTCACCCACACACTCACTCAACAACCAACCTACCCATTCACCCACCCACCCACTCAACAACCAACCTACCCACTCAACAACCAACCTACCCAACAACCAACCTACCCACTCAACAACCAACCTACCCATTCACCCTCCCACTCACTCAACAACCAACCTATCCATTCACCCACCCACCCACTCAAGAACCAACCTATCCATTCACCCACCCACCCACCCACCCACTCAACAACCAACCTACCCATTCACCCACCCACTCACTCAACAACCAACCTACCCATTCACCTACCCACTCACTCAACAACCAACCTACCCATTCACCCACCCACCCACTCAACAACCAACCTATCCATTCACCCACCCACTCACTCAACAACCAACCTACCCATTCACCTACCCACTCACTCAACAACCAACCTACCCATTCACCCACCCACCCACTCAACAACCAACCTACCCATTCACCCACCCACTCACTCAACAACCAACCTACCCATTCACCTACCCACTCACTCAACAACCAACCTACCCATTCACCCACCCACCCACTCAACAACCAACCTACCCATTCACCCACCCACTCACTCAACAACCAACCTACCCATTCACCCACCCACTCACTCAACAACCAACCTACCCATTCACCCACCCACCCACTCAACAACCAACCTATCCATTCACCCACCCACTCACTCAACAACCAACCTATTCATTCACCCACCTACTCATTCAACCACCCACCCACCCACCCACCCACTCAACAACTCATTCACCCACCCAACAACTCATTCACCCATCCACCTGAACCTAGAAAAACAATATACCTTAAGAATTGCTAATTTTGGCCAATATAATATCATTGAGCAGTTCAATTTTTATCTGCATATTATTTCACCATGTGCTTGAAAAGCTTGAACAGCCTGTGGTAAAGGGTGAATGGAAGGGTGTCATGTGGTCACTGGAAATGGGCTCATATAGTGTGGCGAGAGTGAGAAAGCTGGGAAGAGGGTGATAGATGAGGGCTGTGCTAATGATGCCCATTAAAGCACTCTGATAATTAGCCATCATCAAAGCCTGCTCAGCCCCTGCTTGATCAATAATGACCTAATGAAGACTACAGTGCTCATCAACTATACTATTAAAGAGGCTGTGATGTTATCTGCATGTGTTCAACTCTGAATGCAGGAGCCTCTCTAGTGCGGTCACATTAAGGATTGAGTCCTTAACAGTTAAATATTTATGTGCGTCTCTTCCAGCTGAGAAATGGCAAGCGGTCTACACAATCCTAGAGGCCTTTGGAAACAGTGCCACCTCCATGAACAATAACGCAAGCCGCTTTTCCCAGATCGTCTCGCTGGATTTTGACCAGGCTGGTCAGGTGGCCTCTGCCTCCATCCAGGTTTGTGGATATACATTATCACTATACACTATCTGCTCACCCTGTCACCATTATTTCCCCATTTGTTAAGGTACTGCTCAGTTTCATAAATAATATAAATAAAACAATTTGCAATTTAATGAACACTCATACTAATTAGCTGTCTTATAAACTGTTTTAATAATAATAATAATAATATGGTATCATCTTAATAGACATTTATTAATATTTAAAAAATCCACAAAAATTTTGGAAAAGCCACCCATTTTGTGCAATAATTCCCCTACTGTAAAGGTATAATAATTTGTTTGTTCTCTTCAGTTGTGAAGTTGTGTTAACTTTATACATTTTAGGACTCATGAATTTCTTTCTTTTATATATAGACCATGCTGCTGGAGAAGCTGAGGGTGGTGAAGCGACCAGAGACTGAGTCCACTTTTAATGTCTTTTACTACATGATGGCTGGAGCAGACAGCACAGTCAGGTGAACTCAACATCATATTATGCAGATTGAAACCAGTGAACTTTTGCTATTTAATTGGATCATTTATTTTGTCTGAAAAAGCTTTCAGACAAATTTAAAGCACTATTAAAGACATCTATATTGACTGTATGATTTAATACCTTGATTGTATTTCCACTTTACCGCAGAACGGAGTTGCATTTTAACCACTTTGCAGAGAATAGTGCTTTTGGGATTGTGCCTCAAACTAAGGTTAGTTTTAAATAGATGGAGTTTGTCAGCAGCTGAGAAAAAATCATTAAAAAAAATATTGGGGTTTTTAAAATATTAGCATTCCCATTTAATATTCTTTGTGTGTGTGTGTGTGTGTGTGTGTGTACACAGCCTGAGGACAAGCAAAAGGCATCACAACAGTTTACTAAACTGCAAGCAGCTATGAAGGTGCTGGGCATTTCCTCTGATGAACAGAAAGCTCTGTGGCTCATCCTTGGCGCCATATATCATCTTGGAGCTGCAGGGGCCACCAAAGGTAATGCTGCGCTGTGGTGCATCATAAAGTGACTTTCAAGCAAACCCAAGTCACTTATAATCGTAAACCCCCTTAGCAATGCGTATTTATAAATCTTAATTTCTTGCTTTGATTCTACGTCTCCCCTTTTAAGCCCTGCACTGCTGTCTCAGTGCTAATTTAGTTCACAGAAGCATTCGACAGCTTTCTTTTTACACATGATCCGAACTGGAGAGCATTAATGAGATGAAGCATTTAAAGTGCCTAACAAGCACAGAAACAGAGCTTATTAATTAAGGCCGTCTTACTGTCTGCGTACTGAGCTCAAACAGAGAACAGACAAGCAGCTCAGGAAACAGTTTGATGCCAAGGAGTTTAGAGATATGTGCGTTTCTTTAGCTCTAATGAGGATGTATGGCTCAGTATTCACAGTCATTGATATCACTTCCCCCTCTTGCAGTCAGATGTGGATGTATTAATAAACCTTTTAATCACTAGACTCCAAACTGGACTCTCTACATGCTGTTTTCTAAAGCCCACACATTCATGGCAAACTTTATAAAAACTAATTAAATCATCATGGAAATTTCCATAGAGAATATACCCCCCTTTTTTTTTTTTTAGCTCTAAAACATTTATTTTACTATAAATTGCTCATTTTGTGAGTGAAATTTCTATAAAAGTATTATTTATTGACAATTTTCCAGTAAATGGTTAGGTTATGTGTGTAGGGGCTTGAATTTGAATACATGGCCTTCTGTCTGTCTTGATTTATATGTAATGTTTACTAGTTTGTTGCTGATATATTGTTACTGTAGTCACTAAGTTCCTTGGTGTCTGCAATACATTCATTCGTTCTAGTCTGGTACTTTCTCCTGTACCTGCATGCCTTCCCTGTATCACTTTCAGACAAATGGCTTATTTCTCATAGGAGTTACTAATACTGCTTCAGTTTCCTGAGATGGTACTGAAGACTAACATTACCTGACACTAAACGTAACAACTGATAAACCTTATTATCTATTTATTTATTTTTAGCAACAATTTCAGGACACTGCCTAAATGTTTTTTAGATATCTTTGTCTCGAGTCAGTCAGTTATACCTTGCTGTTGATACAGCAGGGGGCAGTGCAGTTCTGCCTTATTCTGTTTTGTGTGGAAACCGTATTTACTTTGGTCAAGTCTGATGTTATTCTTCTCAGTACAGGCAAATACGTTCTGGTAAAAGACTGTAAAATATTTATTCCATAACAACAGCTCGATATACACCCTCTTTCAGACAGCAGAGACATTTATAATGATTTATGTTTTTTTTTTCTAATTCTGTTATTTTGAACTAACAATATTATGTTTTTACTGTGCAGCCTTGGTCTTCTTTAAAAATCATTAAAAAAAACGAAATCTTACTGACCTCAAACTTGTGGATGGTAGTAAATATAATAACCAAATACAGAGAGCAGTAACTGATTAATGCCAAGTAGTAGTTATATAAATTATAGAGCCAGACCGATATATATATATATATATATATATATATATATATATATATATATACAGTTATGCATTATCATATTATTTTAGTTAAAACTTATAATTAACTACAAATAACTAATGTTAGGGAAATCTGTTAATATTTTGTTGCGCGTTTCTAAAATAATAAAAAATAATAATAATATCGGCCGATATATCGGAATATCGGATTTTAAAACCAACAAATATTTGTAGCCTTCATAATCCTTTATCGGTCGGGCTCTAGTAAATTATATATATATATATATATATATATATATATATATATATATACACACCGATATACTGATATATATATATATATATATATATATATATATATATATATATAAAAAAATGTACAAGAATATGCACATTATGAAGTAATAATAACTATTAAGTTATGAAGTGTAGTTTATATATAAACTATATAATACCTATATATAATTTTTCTACAAAATAAAAATGAAAATCATGATTGATTGTTTGAGTCTAATACTAGCCCTAATTATTATTATATCCATTGGCCACTCTGCTCTATATCAGACATAGGAAAAGCATGTATCATCGATTACTAATTGACAACTAATTAAAGTGGAAATGTGTCAAGAAAATACATGGAAGGGCCAATAATATATATGTTTATGCAAGGGCCAATAATATATATGTTTATCCAATAATATATATGTTTATTATTGGCCCTATATATGTGTCAAGGCCAATAATATATATGTTTATGGATATATATGTTTATATTAATATATATGTAAGTTTGTGCGCTAACGATTGCATCTTGGTTCCCTTTTGTACAATACTGAAGAATGTCTCATGTTCTAACCTCTTCTTCTCTACTTGCATGTTGCATGCTGTTACAAAGCAGAGACGGATGAAGGTAAAGAGCATGAATATCATATATCAGCACAAGCAAACACCTCATTTGTGTATGCGTGTGTGGTTTTATGCCGTTATCATGGTTGCCAGACATTTCCATTTGCATTCTTATTGTCTTCTTTTCTTTCTACTTTCATTTCTCTGCTGGGCTTCTTTTCTTCAGAGGTTTATAACCATGTCTTAGTCTTGAAGCTTAGATAAAACTTTGGTGGGAATATGCGCGAGTGAGGGTGGGGACCAATGTAACTTTGTTGTCTTTTAAAGCTCAGAGTCTCTGATGTTTCTCCATGTTGTAGACTTTTCATTTCTGCAGTGCTTTTCTGTTGTTAAGACGCAAACACAAATAAAAAGCCTGTTTGCTCTCAGTTCTTGTTTATTTTTGGCATTCATCTATTCCACCAGAGGCCTGCGTTATTCTCTCTCTCTCCTTCTCTCTCTGCAAACTCTTCTGGTTGCGGCAACATCACTGCAGCCTGCGTGTCACTCTTTTTGTGTATAACTCTGTGGTTTGCTCTGGGGTCAGTCTGAGGAATATTTGGTGGAAACACTTGAAAATCCTTAAAATTTCTAAAATGATTTAAAAAACCTGACACATTTTTGTGATGTCTAAACACTAAAACTCACAGACATAATCAGACCAATTTTGACAGTTCTGAAACTTGAGTTTTTATCTTTTACCATTAGTGGTTCTCATCTCAACAGTGGTTTGTTACCCAAAAAAAAGTTCAAATTTACATTAATTCAACCTAATATTCATTTGATTAAATTCATCCAAATGTTGATCTGATATTTATGTTTAAATAGTCAAATAATTATTTTTGTAATTAATATTATCATGAGCTGTATATGGCTAGTGGTATGCAAAATTAATAACATTGAAAATATACACTAAGCTTTTAATTTTTTTAAGTCTTTACCAAGTAACAGATGGATTTGATTGAAAATACCACAGAGATTAACTGGACAACAACTTTAATCTGGGAAGAGTTTCTCTTTTTCAAAATTGATATAAGCATAATCATACTGTTAGTTTTATTTTATTGTCCACGGCTTGAATAAACCTGCAACGTTTTGTAAGGTCGTAACCCACCAGCTGAAAACCACTGCTTCCAGGCAGTTTCAGTATTCGGTTAAAATTGCTGCAATTTTTACAATTTGGTATAAATCCTTATTTAAATTCCATATCCTAGAGATTATATAACTCTACATAAATTACATAATCAGTGAAATTGTGTAAGACTTCCCTCAGATACCATAAGAGCCCCACAGTCATCTGTGCTGCTTCATTTAACATGGTACTTACACCATCCCTGTGCATCCCACAGCGGGCCGGAAGCAATTTGCACGTCACGAGTGGGCCCAAAAGGCGGCTTACCTCTTGGGTTGCACTCTCGAAGAGCTCTCGTCTGCTATTTTCAAACACCAGCCCAAAGGATCCTTACAGAGATCCACTTCATTCCGCCAAGGACCAGATGATGTTGGGACAGGAGACAGCTCGGGTAAGATCTTTGACAATACAAGACCTCTGGTACAGATGAATTGTGTTTGGCTTTGGCAGTATTAATACTGAAAGCGGTGTGGATGATTCCTCTCACAGCTCCAAAGATCACAGCTCTCGAGTGTCTGGAGGCCATGGCTGCTGGGCTCTACTCTGAGCTCTTTACTTTGGTCATCTCACTTGTTAACCGGTAACACTTATATCCTCTCATGGTCAAGACATACATTTACTTTTAAGTAACTTAAATTTAACTAAGACATATTTGTCACCTGGTTTATTTTCCCAACCAGTGGCAGATGGGGTAATGGGGAAACCTGTTTGAAAACAGTCAAACAGTTTTTTTTTAAATTACGGACCATATTTTGTGAATAATATTGTGTATACAACTATTTTAGATGGTCAATAAACGCCATATATAAGGTATTATTTTAAAAACTTAACTTATTATACTTATAACTTATTATAAATATTAACTTATTATATCAATTATAAATATGAAAAGGTTGATTTCAGTAGTTTTGCACTTAAATTTTTTTTAATGCATTATGTGCTTCAAAATGTTTTTGTACCGTACAAACTGGTATACCATTTATACCATTTGGCATTTACAGTTTTTTTGGGGTTAAGCATTAGTGAAAGGTCTAACAAATAAAAAAAATAAAAACACAACAAGCATTTTTACACCACATATTGTAGAAATAAAACACTTTATACATAAATGTCAAAAAAGTTACTCGAATCAATGATCAGCATTAAAAAAGCATTAACTAAAAAAGTTGGTTTAGGGTTTAGTTTATCAATATAAATAAATTAAAAGAGTATTGTTCCTTGATTGCCTGTCATGTGTATTAATAATGATAAAAAATCAACAAGATTTTGATGAAAACGTTATTATAATTTTGTTTGGTGGCACTAGTGGTGTACACTATTTCACATGTAAGGCCAAACATTGTCCTTTTTCTATAAAGAACATAAAGATTAGTAGTAGGAATAGGCTTTTAAGTGAACTACAGACTACAGTACAGTTTCAGTTCAATCCCAGGTTCAATTGTGAAAGAGAAAGCCTGTATTGTTTGAGAACTCTAACCTACATTAAATATGTATCTGTTGTTTGTTTGTGCTGGTTTAGAGCGCTGAAGTCGAGTCAGCATTCCCTGTGCTCTCTGCTTATTGTGGACACTCCAGGATTCCAGAACCCAAAATTAGCAAAGCGTGACCGCGGCGCCACGTTCGAGGAGCTGTGCCACAACTACGCCCAGGAGCGTCTCCAAACACTTTTCCATGAACGCACCTTTGTACAGGAGATGGAGCGTTACAAGGAGGTGCAGCAGTCCATCCTGTCACACCCATCAAATTATTCCTTTTTTTCTTAAATTAATTATACTCTCAATTCATTTGGGCTGAGACTAGCCCAAGTTGATTTTATTAACATTGATTATAATCAAATCTGCTTGCCTTGTTACCAAAATCAATGTACATTCAAAGTTCATGAGCCAATCATAGATTCCATTGATATAAAGGTGCTGTAAGTAATGTTCTGGAACTCCCAACACACTTCAAGTTGTCATGAACTGAAAATTCTATGCTAAAAATAAATCTCTTTTTGTAAATGCATGGTATAATAGATGTTATCGTGAATGAGTCATCAATGTAGGTTTCATTTTGACATTTTTTTTTGACTTTGTAATTTTTAATCAAAATGTCATAGCTCACTTTTTTGGGGCAAGATGATAGACTTCTCTTTAGTGATGTGTGCCAGACTTCTCCAATCATTTTGTCAGTTTAAACCCTGCCCCTTCACAATCGACTGCAAGCTTGCATACATTTTTGAGAGCAACACCTACATCTCAAAATCCTATCAACTGATGAATAAAAAAAAATTATATATATAAAAAAATATTCACCTACAGAGACCAGCCTGATATTTCAGTACACTGTCTGAATGCCATTCTATACAAAACACTTACAGCACCTTTAATCAAAAGTTTTGAAATGATCTATTTTCATGCTTGAGTTTTGATCGATACTAATTTTAAGCCTATTCCATATAAGAGAAATTCTAATGATTGTACACTTTTAACCTGAAATCAGTTTGCAATCATAGCTGACTAACACTCCCTCTATCCCTGTTTAGGAGAACATAGAGCTTGCATTAGATGACATAGAGTCCAGTACATCACTGTCTGTAGCAGCTATAGACCAAACCTCAACTCAAGCATTGGTAAGCAACTCTCTCTTCCCCACATCTTTTCTTACCTCCTCAGCTTTTTGTAGTGCATCCCAGCCTGTCCCCAAAGGGGCCTTATCTGGAGAATGTGTTCTTTTCAGTCTTGGCTCTGACTTGAATCTCTGATGTTTTCCCTTGTCTCCCACAACTCTGGGGAAAATTCTTCTTGACTGCTTGAAAGTACTAGTAGATTACTTTTTTGTCCTTTAGTTTGTCATTTGAGTGTGAACTCTTCCTCAAAGTTGTTATCTATGATGAAAACTTATTATATATTGTCATCTAGCCAGTCACTGCAGGAGTAGTGTGTCAGAAACGTGCCTTTCTGGGATGTTAATGATGCAGGAGATCTTCTTTTTCTCTGTATGTGTGGGGGTGGGTAATGAGTGGGAAGCGCCCTCCCTCTTCCTAAGGCACAGCGTTCAAAATCTTTGTTAATGAAAGCACTTTTCATGACATTGTCTCTCTTACAAACTGTGTCGGGATATTGCTTAGTAGTCCCGTCAAATATGAAGCGTATTGGCATCAGACACATGTCTGAGGCTTTATGTATACTTCTAGAATATATGTTATTTCTAGCTTTGATTTGGAAACTATTGTTTTGACAGCATTTAATCTTGGTGTGCAGTAGTTTGGTAAAATGATAGCACATAAAATTAGCTACAATTGGAAATAAAGGCATAGTCACAGTAGAATGATGTTCATGTTAAAATTAGTTCTGCTAAATATTTTTGTAGAGCCAGTGATGTTTTTTTTTTCAGGATCCTTTTACGAATAGAAAATGCTTGTCATTATAAATGTCTTTACTATTTTGCATTAAATTGACTGACCGTAAATTGACAATAGTGTATATTAATTGAAGTGTATATTCTTGACCGAACCTATATGAGAGTAGTGTGGTGTGGTCACTGGTCACATGGTATGTTGACTTTTCTCAGAACTGGCAACTTTATATTAAACACTACACAGTATAGGACATTTTATTTAGTCATTTTCTAGAAATTGTAGAAACCATTTTCCATTAGTATCTCAGGTAAACATCTTTACTTAAAAGATCGAATTAATAGATATGTAAAGGCATCATCGGATTAAAAAAAGGATTTTAGATTAGAATGGTTCAGTGATGCATGACCTTTTGCAAAGACTTACAAATGGAGATCAAATGAGTGTGTGATTTATTTCTCTGACAAGCTGCTTTGCGTATCACTATTTGTTTTGAGTGTGCCCCCAGTGGTTGCGTTCACCAATTGCAGCTTTGCGACTTGAAGAAGATGCACAAACATATCCCTGTGCAGTCATATAATCTTTCCTTTTTAAACTTTTTAAATTTAATAAAGTTCAAGAAATTCATAAATTGTCAATTGAGCACTTTAGCAATTAAGTAAAGTGAAAGCGCTCGTTAAAACAACCCTGAAGAGTTCATTAGCAAGTCTGTGGCTGATGGAAATAGTACCGAGGCATAGTGACGGTAGTCTCATCAGTGTGAAAAGGAATATTTAAAGACATATTCGGAGTATATTCATAAGCCTACATAATTTCTTTTTATGCGCTGGTTTCATCCACAGTTATTCGGCAGTCTGCGAAGTGTCAGTGCGGTAATGCAGAACAAGGGAGAAGCCATTACTGGTATTAATTGCTTAAGTAGACAGGCAGAGTGTAAGGTTTAAAAATGCCTGCCTGACTGCCCTGCAGCTCTTACTTAATACAAGCCTTTAATGAGGAGCCCAAGACTAATAGCTCATCTTTCCCCCCTCATTTTCTCCTCATCTCTCTTATTGTATAAAGGATTGTAATTGCTTTCATGTAATGACTAATGTTGTGTTTAAGGTCATTATCGAAATATGAAATTAAAAGTAAATGAAACAATGCACAACCTTGACGAATGAAAGGGGCTTGAATTTGTGAGTAAACTAAGTTCTTGCGGCAGATTGTGCATGTTCACAAGGGGGACATATTTGAACAATGTCATTGGCAAAGAATCTCCAAAAATGTGGCATAACCTTGCCAAGAGTGATGACAAGAATGAGTAGTTAGTGTTGTCATTAGATCTGAAGGCTGTTTGTATATAGTGTGTGTGCATAAGTGCGTTTATGTATGCATGCTTACAAAGTTTCTTTATTCCATTGATAAAGTCTGCTGTATATTTGATACACACATTTCTAAGGCCTCTAAATGATCAACTTGATCAAAACAATATATTACATGTCCTCACTTGTCTGATCGATTGTTTAATTTTAGTACAATTAAAAAAAAAAAAAGTTGCCTTTAGTTGGTAGTACATCGATATGAAATCTATACTGCTTTTTATAACTTTTATATTGTTACTAGTGATATTTCAAGATGAACACCTACTGGAAGCAACTTAGGTTTATCCATACATCTTGTTTTTTTGTTGTTGTTGAGAAATTGTTAAAATCATGCATCAAAAACAACAAACATTTGAGGCACGTAAATTTTTTCTTTCTCTCTATTATCATTGTATCGCATTGCATTATAGGTTCTGCCCACCACAATTAAAACAACAAAGCTTTGGTCATAAAACAAAGCATTTAAATATCATCTTACTAAAACAATGTTATTGGCAGATATAGAGTGACAACTGATTTTTTTTTTTTTCATTTTATGAAAGTAGTCTGCTATACTGTTATAAAGGTCTCATTGATTTACAGTACAAGCTATCAGAATTTCAACCGCACCAAATTAAATATTTTTGCTCAATTTGGGCCTCTCAATAAAATTTAGGTGTTTTTTTTTTTCTCCCCCAGTATGAGCTCCATAATCTAACTTTCTATACCATACTATATGACCCATAGAAGACTGATGTATCAAAAATAATACTCAACAAAATCATGTTGTCTAAAGGTTGGATACGGTTCCATTTCAGAACATTTTTCTGACTATTATGTCAGGCTTTAACAGGGTTAAACATTGAAATTCAAATTTAGGCTCTTAGCCTAGATTGGGGGCTCGTCCGGGATTGAAATCGCTTAGTTTACATATAGACCCCAGTCTACAGTTTGAGTCTAACAAAGTGTTCTCGCATGTTCGTCTGTTTCCATGTGGTCCAGGTACGGACACTGGCCAGGACAGATGAGGCGAGAGGCCTGCTGTGGCTGATGGAGGAAGAAGCTATGCAGCCTGGGGGCTCGGAAGAAACTCTGCTGGAAAGACTCTACAGTTATTACAGCCCTGTGGATGGAGAGACCAAAGGTCAAAACACATTTACACCTCTCACATGCCCACCCACAACACATACCATTACTTCTATACGTTTATGTATGAAAAGTTTTTGCAAACTCATGTGCTCAACTCATTTCTCAGGCCCTGCCTTGCTGCTAAAGAGCGAGAAGGTACATCACTTCCTGTTGGGTCACAGCCATGGAACTGACTGGGTGGAGTATGATGCTCGGGGATGGTTGAGCCATGCCAAACAGAACCCTGCCTCTCAGAATGCGGCCATTTTACTGCAGGACTCTCAGAAGTAAGACCTTGATAAATAATTACTAATATTTGCCTGTTGTTACATACATTTACTCCATCTCTGCAAGCGCTGTGAGTTTGTAATGTAAAATATTTATTTATTAAGAGGCTTTGGTGTCTTCTAGCATTTTTGCCACTAAAATAAAAGCTCTACAGTCTAATGTTAATGTACTGTTTAGGTGTAACAGCCATAAATTAGTATATATTTTTATTGTTATTCTGTAAATTATAAATATTATTATATTTGTTTTATTTTGTTATGCAGTATAATAGTATACCAATAGCAATATATTTCTTAATTTAAAAAAATTATCATTTAAATAATACAAATTGGAAAAAAACCCAAACCCAATGATCCAGCTCATCCTGTGTACAATCTGGTTCTTCCTCTGCAGGAAGAATATCAGTAGCTTGTTTATAGGGCGTTCAGGAGGAGCCACAGTTTTGTCAGGTTCTATTGCTGGGCTTGAGGGCGGATCACAGCTGGCCCTGCGCAGGGCCACAAGCATGAGGAAGACCTTCACAACTGGCGTGGCTGCTGTTAAAAAGAAGTCCCTCTGCATCCAGATTAAACTACAAGTGGTGAGTACTTAAAGCTCCAGTCTGCAATTTTTTGGGGTTAAAAATTATCTCCCAATTTTTTTTGAGTAAGTACATAACCAACAAGTGTTCAAAACTATCTGCTTGCCTTAGCTCGATTCAAAGCGGTAAGCTTGTAATGTTTTTAATTCCAGTGGTACTGGTGGATTTTCGCGGGAGATTCGAACATCTCTTTGTGTCATTACGTCACATCTGTACACATAAAGAAAGAGTCTCTCGGCTAGTATAAGCTATATTTTGCTATAAACTGCTGTGCACTTACTTATTAATTTGACGGCAGATCCAGAAACGTTCAAACGACAATCACCAGTGACAACTAGAGATTCACCCGTTGTAAAATGCAAAAGACTTTGGACTGAGAGTTTGGAAAAAAGAGACTGCAACCGGCTCATGCAAAAACAAGGATAAATATCGGAAGGGCTTTAAATGTAGTCATGCAATGCTGATGTTGTTAACATTAACAATTTGAGAAAGTACAATTTGCTCGGTTTGACGTGATATGATATGCGATCGTTAGATTTAATCAGCGCAATTTACTGCAATGATTTTTTTAACTTAGTTGGTCAGAAAAACAAAAGTGGATGTTGGTTACTTGTGCAGATCAGATGACATTTTAGGGAGAAAAATATTATGTTGGTCATACTTCTAAAAAGAATAATCTGTGATTCTGAATGCCAGTATCCACATGCCAGCCTCACATTCTCCTCAAAACATTGTATTCGTCCGTGCTCTGCCGTGTCGAGGCACAACTCACGTAAAGTTGATAATTCCGCAAATAACTGCAATTGTAGATTTCTCACAGAGATGGTGACAAAGAGGAAAAACTGTGGACTGCAGCTTTAAAACCTGATAATTACATCCATATACTAGTGCATTCAAAAGAGCTAGACAGAGCGCAACTTATTATAGACCTCCTTCATTGGAACAAATTGCAGGGGTCTCGAGAGACCCTACAGCTAAAACTCAGCATGCTAATTACAGCACCACCACTACAATATGTAGAAAAAGATCAATATGGATATTTTTGATGGCCGATGCAATATCTTAGAGTGCAGGGTGGCTGATAGATGGTAACACATTTTCATGTACATATATTTCACATAATTTTTGTGAATTAGAAATAAAATCATTTGAAAATGAAAAAAAAAAATGAATTGGGAACTTGATGAAAAAATTATTTTGGATTCTGCCACCCTAATATAGTATTTTTCCACAGATCAAGAAATTGTTAACATGAATAAAAGAAAATGAAGTAAAAATTCTGTAATCAACAGTGCACTCAGTAATCTGATAAGTCTAATAATATAAAGGTAAACACTATAATACTTAGCGCTTACTTTCTTTGTTTAACATTTAATAATTTGTTAGTGAGAACTGTTAAGCAAACACAGTAAACTAGTGAAGATGGAGAATGGCACAAGTTGGTCAAAATACAGGTCCCGCTTCCATTTATCGGCAAAACTGAAAAACGTATCGGCCAGTAATTAAAAAAAGAAAGCTAAATATCAACCAATGTATTGGCCACAGCCACTAATCGTGACCCATTAGTACTGGTCCTCACATAATAGAATCTTATTACAATGTGGTCAAACAATAAAAGCATTTCTGAATTGAATGTATGTTGTTTGTTTTCTTATAGGATGCACTGATAGATACAGTGAGGCGGTCCAGGGTGCACTTTGTGCATTGTCTGCTCCCTAAAGCAGAGACTTTGTCTG